GGGGTGATTAAGCAAGCATCCATATTACAAATATATGCACGTATGAATAGCTGTGCGTCTTGTTGGACAGGGGTGAGAGGAGTTTTGCATCAAAGGTCTGAACGATTGTATGCATGCCTGCTCAATGACTTAGAGTATGAGTAGCTTTGCATGTTGCTACAGTGCGTAATGGTATACCAAGGTCTTCAAGCATAGATACTTATATCATATTACTAAATGTGAATGTAGTTATAGGATGCACAAAAACTTCAAATACTATGCGATAGAGGCTTTCATTCGAATAGATGACAAGATATAGTCTTAGAGCAATTATATTAGACAATTATTCATGGATGTTTGAACCGTAGATAAATGATATCATGGGCAGTTCTGTATTTTGTGCTCAAAATGTATTTTCTATGCGAATGTATACATATGAATTTATAGTTTCACAACAAACCATATCTTGTGAACTATTGATAAATCCAACAGATCGGCTACAAAAATTTAAAAAAAATTATAATTATAAGTGGATCAACAAAACCAAGACATCATCAGCATGGTTTATCTGTTTCACCGAATGTTGCAGAAAGGTAGCAGGTGCGTATGGAAAAACATGGAGCCAAGATCGACACACCTACATTCTTGCTTGGGCAAGGTATTTTTTCTTTAGTACAAAGAGCACTGAAAGAGTGGTCAGCCTCACTGACATTGATTGTCTAGCAAAGCTGCAGTCAAATCAATAAGTAAAGTGGAAAAAAATGAGAAGCTATATTCCGCATAATTATAAGTCCTATGCCGTAACACTTACTTATAAGAATGACATTATGCACCACCTCACATGCATATCAATATATAAAATTGCATCCATTTATATGAAAAAAAATCAACTCAGAAAAAGAAAATTATAAACGGAGTTAGGAAAATGACTCGAGAATCCAACTGGAAAAGTTGTGAGACAACTACAACGAGAAGATAACATCGGTCATCGTGCCCTTACGTTTGTGTTCTGCATCAAATTATCTGTCGTGGAAGTTAACGATGTGGGTGTAATATGATACTTATGCTACTTTTACTGCATCGAGTTCATGACAATTGAAAACGGTAAGGTGCGCTGATAAAAGTTGTTGGTTAGAATAAGGTGTTCGAATAATGAGGTGTCAGTGACTTGAAGTAACATTTGGAGGTGCTAGTTTGGAAGACCAAGCGAGCTTTCACAATCATGTTACTCTCATTTGGGAAATAAGCATTTGCCAAACTTATCTATTCTTCTAAAGTTTTTACAAAACAAGCAGAATCTAGGAGTAAATTACTTGATGGAACCTTGGTAAACTAAACAATCTTGATGGGAACCAACAAGTTTTATTTAATCCGATATGACTCCATCAGACCAGACTTCTATGCAACCCACCGTCAACCATATTCCAATAAAAGTTCTTATACTCTTGCCCGACCGTGGCAGACACTCTCCACAATATAGAGTGTTTGCCACCGTCGGACAAGAGTATTTTGGCGACTAGCTTGTAACCATGTTTGATACAACTATACCCATACCCGACTCGCAGATGAGTTTGGGTTAACTGAACCCATGCATTATCCATCCATGGCATCTTGTTCATACTCATTACCCATCCAACTCATATCCATCATCTACTTGAGAGTACTTTGAAGTGTTTTTAAAATGAGAGACTTGCCAATGATTTATTGTAAACCGTTACATATTGATTAGTAATTTGATAATCTGATTCCTATAAATCCTTAAGTTAAGGTCAATCACCTTCCACCAAATAAGTAATATAGAGTAGAGTATTGCGGTCCTAAGCAGAACGCAGTCATCTTCAGTTTACTCTCATTTGCTCTTCACCTTTTCATCTTTGGATCCAATATTACTTAACATAATTACCTATGAAATTGATGGAGAAAATAAGCAAGCTTTTAACTATATTGAGTAGAGAATACACTATTTTATGAGAAAAGATTTCATATCACATTATCAATGAGATCACATATCGATGTGTAATCTTGATGTGTGATATATCCCATAATTAATCATTTTTACTTCGAGCGATGCACAATTATTCACTATAAAGCTATGTGGGCAAAATGAAAGTATATCATAGATGACTTGCTCATCTTAGCTCTCACTCTCTCTTCGTCCATATGACAATAATGAACAATGGGAAAACAAGCTTGAGCAATATGGATGGAGGTACAATAATGATGGGGTTTATTCTAGAAGTCAAGAACATCAATACTTTTGAGGTTTATTCAACACATTGAATGACATAGGAGCAATCAGTTGAGATATTCTAAATGGATAGTAGCCACCCATGCGTCCAAGCCCATACCCATTATCCACCCATTGTGCCTTGGATATGGGTGAGTATTGAATACCAATGGGTATGGATATCCATTGCAAGACTTTGGTCAGAAGTACTTCATCCTGGTGCACAAGTCCGAACCTACATCCAATGATGTGTGTGGTGTCTAAACCAAAGAAGTACAAACTAGTAGCAAACTAAAGTGAATTAGTAGGGTAAATCAAAGCATTATCTATATGAAAAAGATTGAATTTACAAGCACAAAGATCACCAGATTGAACTTCGGGACGGAAGCCTTTATGAATCACGTTCACAAACCTTGCAACGGAGCGGCTATGGCGTCTGCACTCTCCACCTCATCCATGATTATAGAAAAACTAACTACTACGAGGCTAGGAAATCGCTTTAAATATCTCACAATTGTTCATGTATCATATGCGTATGATACAAGACCCAAAAACTAGCCTATAAAAACGGTACAAGATCGTTATACTACTTGCCCTCGAACTAGTGTCACTAGCATCAATTGAACGACCTAAAAACTTTTTTTGTAAATAGCAAAAGCTGGCGGACATCACTAGTACCGGTTGAAATGACGCGATCCAGCATGTTGATAAATCAATTACTAGGAACACAGATATATTTATATAATGGACTGTGAATGATCACTTAGGTTTTTATATATAGCATAAAAAACTTATATATTTCAACTATTTTTCAAATAAGAAAGTTTTAAATTTTTAAATTTCTTATGCATTATATTAAATCCAAGTTTATACTACATTTATAATCAAACATTTTAAAAAATGCTCCACAAAAAGCATGTTTATTTTCACAAGATTTATGAATAACTTTATGTATCTACCTGTGAATTTTTTTTTCCTTATCACAAGTGAATTTTTTTCATGTGAATTTCACAATTTACTTTCAAATCAAAGTAGTGATTCAAGTTGTCAATTCAATGTTTCTTAAAATACAATTCAATTCAAAATTTACGAATGGAAATTTATTTATTTTAATAATCAATCTAATAAATTCCAGATACATATATAAAGTTATCCAGAAATACATTTAGATTCTGTGAATATAGATAATGATTCTTCGCATCTATCTAAAAAAAACTTTTTTTTATCAACGTTTATCATTAAACAAGTATTTTCTTTATCAATACAGTTATATTATAATTTTTAGTTCATCTCTAAATATTAAAAAGTTCATAGCTGGAGTTTGTATTCACATGAATTTTATCATGTATGCTTGGTGCATGTTTTGAATTCTTTTGGTATAAAATTTTCCTTCAAAATTAATATTTAAATAAATAAATAAATATATATATATGTGTATAATATAAAAATTTAACTGATTTCTTACGTTGCAAGAAATAATTTTACATTCCATTTTGACATAAAAGCTGAAATGGGATTTCTAAGTGTACTTCACGATTGGATGTCATCCGTGACAATAGTCTAATATAAGAGCTAGGTATCCGAGTTCTTGACAGCTCCTGCACATGATCCATTTCTTCTCTGCGACATAAAGTAGTAGTGTGTGAAGTAGAATGCAGAAGTTAGCACATCGTTGATGTGCACATGGCGAATAACATTGACTTAATCTTCGAAAAGGTTATTGTAAAATTTTAAACAATCTAGATTAACCTAAGCTGAAATGAAGAAAGTTATCAATAGAAAAGAAGAAGAATTCAAACAACCATCTAGGCACTTCTACATCTCCTGAGAGTTTTAATTTTTCTCAATAAATATAGTCTAGTTTGTTCTAGAGAAAGAAAAAAAAAATAACTGGAAGTTATCATAAAAAGTGAGATGACAAAAAAATATCCCTTTGGATCAGTCACCAAATATTGATCTTTCCTGGTTCTATTCCACGGAGGCATTACAAAGAGTATTTGTTATTGTGTGTTGTTCAAGTTATGAAAATAATGTATAACATACTAACCTATGTTTGGATGGGGGTTCCACTTGATTATTGTTAGCCACTTGGCCACTCAGAATTTGGTCACCATTCGTTACCTCAAATCGAGGACCCAACCCACGGTCAAAGAATCCGTCCCGAAGTCCTGTGTCTTTCTGCCGAAGTGCTTACGTGCTCAGTCTTTCCATATTTAGAATATTAGCTGGGAGCCACGCGTGCTCATAGACGGCTGATATTGGCAGCTGTGACACTTGCTGCGTAGCTCGAACCAATAAGAAGGGCCCGTGTGGACAAAACCGGAGTTCCGGTCATTGAGGTCAAATGTCCACTGTGGTGACTCAGGTGTCCAAGTTCTACGTTTTCTCTTAACCTGGGATTACAGTTACCGGAGAGCTTTCAGTCGGCTCGTCCTCAAGTGCCGGATAACTAACCATTGGATTCCGGGCCACGCCAAGATCGGTGGCACGCGGTTCCGGCAAATGCAACCTCTTTTCCCAGTACGGCTAATGAGTTTACCGGCACACGATTCGAGTGAATCCCACGGGGAACAAACAGAAAGACACTTTCATGAGTTGTATTTGTTAAGCGCGGGGCTGGATGTGCACACGTGCCGGTTAGCCTCCGGAAGCAGTCCGGCGAATGCCGAGCACGTCAAAGAAGGGACAGACGGACGCTCAGACGGACGGAAAAGATGACGAAAGTTCCACGGTAAAGGGTGCTCCTCGGTGAGGAGGAGGAGGAGGGAGGGTGGGAGGGAGCGATGTCGCCGGAGTCAATGGAGCGCAGGGGCAGAGGGCGATCGATCAATCGATGAATGGCCGGATCGATTTGGGAACAGATTGATCGATCGAGCCATTCGTGCTTCCTGCTGTTGAGTGCGTGCGCTCGAGCGAGAAGGACGACGGACCGCAGGTCGACATGAGGAGAGGCGAATTTTGAATCGGGCAAGATTGGTGATCACTCGCTAATGTTGGTGATCAGCAGCAAGACTAGGGTAGGAGGACAATCTTGTCGTTCAATCGCCCGATTCCTGAACCGATTGACTGACCGATGAAGACCCTCGAGGAATCTCGCTGTGCGTAGAGAGAGTGGCAGAGACTAGGTCGAAAGGAAAGTGAAGGAACGGAAGGAGGGAGTGATGACCAACATGTTTCAGTCGTCGACGAGCCTACAGGCTGTACAATAAGCAGGCGTAGTTGCTTCTTGGTTCATCGGAGTAAAGGTTGAGGTGGAGGAGGTGGTGGTGGTTCTTGTTGTCATTGCTATTTTTGTTCTTTGGGGTTAGAGAATCTGCCATCGCTGAGGTAGAAGAAAAGGCGGGTCGCTTGCAGGGAGCGTCAGGATGGCCGAGGAGAAGTATAATATGCGGAATCCTGCCGTGAAGCGGATTTTGCAGGAGGTCAGAGAGATGCAGAACAATGCGAGCGAGGATTTTATGAGTTTGCCGCTACAGGATAACATTTTCGAATGGCAGTTCGCGATTCGGGGGCCTCAGGATACAGAATTCGAAGGAGGGATTTACCACGGGCGAATTCAGTTGCCTCCGGAGTATCCCTTCAGGCCTCCCGCATTCATGCTCCTTACACCCAACGGGCGATTCCAGACTCAGACCAAGATATGCCTGAGTATCTCACAACATCACCCCGAGCATTGGCAGCCATCATGGAGCGTCCGCACAGCGTTGGTCGCTCTGATTGCCTTCCTGCCCACGAAGCCCGACGGAGCTCTGGGATCTCTTGATTACACCAAGGAGGAAAGACGGGCGCTTGCTATAAAGTCCCGAGCTGCAGCACCGAAATTTGGCAATCCGGAACGGCAACAGCTGATAGATGAGATCCATGATTACATGATGAAAAAAGCACCTCCCGTTCCAGATCTTTCTGCAGCACCGGAAGTGCCATCGGACACCACGGATCCTGCAGCACCCGTTTCTGACCCAGTTCCCTCGCCTGAAGCTACCGAGACACGGGAGGTCGTCTCTACACCAAACGGCGATAATGAACCAGAAATGGTAGTGGAGAACGTGCATGAGCTTCACGTCAACGCCAACGCCGGCCCAATTGCCGTGAGTTTCAGTGCAGGATTTCGTGTTAGAGCTCCTGCACCCACCCAAGCAGCAGCACCCAGAGAGCAGCAGGCTGTTGGGTCGCCACCACCGGCAGTGGAAGGCACAGGAATTCTTGCAAGGCTTCGACTGTCGGATGACTTTGGTTTGACAGTGTTGGCGATCGGATTGACCATTGCCATCGTTGCTATCTTAATCCAGAAGTATTTTGCACGCTCTCCAGCGACCATGGGAACAGGCTTGTGATTCATTGTTTAGGAAATTATGTATAGATTGCCCCTCCCTCCTCGTCTTGGATTCCTTTGGATCAGCTTCTCCCGCCCCCGACACCCTCCCTCCTTCAATTTGGCATGCCCCGGGCTTTCGTAGTGAGACCTTCTCTAAGTCTCATGAAGATGATGAAATTATCTAATCAGAAGAAGATCAAACTTTTGATATCTAGGGTTGGCCGTATTATGAATGTGAGATCCCTGTTAACTTCGGGCTTGGAAACCTCAGCGTCCATATGTAAATAGTTCCATTTTTTAATCCTGTTTGGGTCAGGTGGACCGCAGTAAAGAGACGTTTTGTGTAGGCCAGCTTTAATTCTGCAGTACACAGCCTGTGATGTTGGCAATTACTTTGACCAGTGGATGTCAAACTGTATTGATGTTCTGTTAGTGTTATCCGAGACTGAAGCACCGGGGTTTTATGTGTCTCATTTAAGTACGAGTCGGGGTGCTGCTTTCAGTGTGCAGAAGTTTCGAGGGATATTAAATGGCTCGTGGCATTGTTGAGCACATCTCGTATTGAGATCAGTTGTGATCGTGGACTTCGGGCCAGCGGTTGGAAAGAGCTTGGTTCTTGTAGGTGTATTCCCTATCATTCTTTTATGAATAGATAAAGCTATGTGCTTTGCTGGAGTGGTGAGAGATTTCCGTACGAAGCTTTTGAAGAAATCCACGAATCTCTATGATGAAGCATGAAGAATTTGTAGCGTACAGCAGGATAGGGCCGTCGAGATTGTATTTTATGAAAAATTTCGTTAACAAGTTACACCAAATGACATGTCTCTGCACGTCATAACCTTAGGTTCGTTGAATGTCAAGTTTCATGTCTTCATGTCTCGTGAATCTGTCAAAAATATCAGCACGATGTTCTCATGAGATACCAGTCGTGCCGGGAAGGCGAAGGCTCTGGTTGGTCTTTTGGCTTTTGGATATTCCTACCTAAGTACTGATGCTAACTTTAAGGATGGAAATACTTCAGTATGGATACATGTGATGAGTTTAATCTCAAGAGACTTTATGTCGGCCAACCAACCATCAGGAGAATCCGATTTATGTCTCCGATATGAAGACGTGGGGAAAGAACTGTCACTAATTTGCTGTGCTTTGACAGGTTGTTCCACCTTCTACATCTGAAATTCAATCAATGCAACGGACTTCTTGAAATTGAGCTTCGGATCATTTTATGAGGGTCTTGTTCTATGAGTAATTCTCATTGTGTTTTGAGTGAGCAATGATTGACTTCGTCACTCACGTCATGAGTTGTCATTGTTGAATTGTTTCGGAGATGCTCATGACGAACTTATACGAACTACAGATTGGGACACTTCCGGAGGTGTGTTCGAGGGCTTCTTAACGTTTCCCGTTGTCCTTTGAGTCAGTGTCGATGCACAGTTTAGTATGAAAGTGCTGTTGCTAGTTAGGAGACATTCTGGTAGAACGTGACATGTTGATGTTGATAAAAGTTCCACAGGGAGAAAGAATTTTCCTTCTGCACAATGTATGTGGATGCTTTCTTCCCATGGAACTTCTTTATTCAGGTAAATCAGCTCTCATGGGACATACCGATATATACCGAGATATATTGTATATCTTTATAAGGACACGGTATATCACCGCTTGTTTGTGCACCTTTCCTGGCTACACCTTTGAACTGAGCCAACCATTGATAGTCATCAAACATTTTTCTCCAACCATATTTTCGTTAAGCTGCGAGTGTTATTGGCTGAAGTCAATTTATCGGGCACGTATTGGAACTTTCTCTCTAAGCCTGAACAACCAAACCTTTCGGCCCTCTAACGGTGCCTACAGACTCGGTAATAGAGGAATTTGATCTTTATAACTGTAGAATCTAACGCAGCAAAGTGATCTGATTAGTTTATACCTCGCGTAATCTGAAGATCATATGTTTCTGGCCGAGCTGTGCTACTTTGAAGAGATAAGAGAAGAAGATGAGAGCGCTTCACAACTAGTGGGACTTTTGCCCACTACAAGAATCGCACTAACGTCTCCAACCATTTTTCGTGTCAAAGCAAAATACAAAGAGCCTCGGTAGCAGTGACTCATGATTGTGGCTGCGTTGGCACGTGGATCAATTTGACAGTAAGCTGCGGTAATAGCTGGACCTCCACCGGCGTAGTCAAGAAACTGCTGAGTTCTGAGTCAGGAGGCACACAAAGCTTTATTCCAAGAGATAGTGCACTGACGTTTCTTATTCCTTCCGACAGATTGTCTTTGCATTATGTCCTTCATGCGAATGCTTGGAGTGACTCTCCTTCGTAACTGCAACTCTAGACTCGTTCCAGGGCAAGGACATTCTAGACTGGCTAACCAGAGATATGATTTGTGACTGGCTGGCTTCCCACAACCGAAATGCAGTAAACCCATTCCCATTTCCGTGATTATTGTCTATTGCTATTAAGTGTGACATCTAAATGGTGTGCAGTTTTGTGCATCAAATTACTTATTATAGCTTATTGTTTGGAGCAAGTAATACAGTAAAGTATCAAATCCACATAGAAAAACTCACATCCATTATTGAGACACCGCAGCGAGGCTAGACCGGACTAGAGAAGAAAACGAAATAGGCATGAAAATAATGCGATTTATCTAAGGTACACCATGTCGCTGGCCTCGACTCGGTTTAGATGTTACGATTTAAAATTTTCAAGTGTGAATAGTTGTTTAAATAATTTTTTAAAAAAAACACAAAATTCAATGTTGGGGAAGGCGGATAAATGTGTTGTCGTTGGAAGGTTCGTGAAGTACCCTTGGGTCCGGAGCGGCAGGTCGGGTCCGACCCAAGGCGGAAGGTAGTGGGAGGGGCTGGAACGGAATGTGTGGTCTTGGGAGGACTGGACGGGGGACCGGTGACCGGAGTCGGGACCGGCGACAGCGACACGGACGCGGATGGACTACGTGGACTACATAGACTGCGTTCGCGACACCACTCGCTGCAGATGATGCGAAGGGGCGGCCCGTCCTCTCCTCTGCTCCTCTGCTCCTCTGCGCCTCTCCTGCTCTACTCGGTTCGGCTCTGCTACGCAGTGACGGGGGCGTCGACCACGTTGGAGAGGATGAAGGTTGAGAGTGGGATTCAGTGCTGGGCCGCCCGCCCTGAGCTGCACAGAGGGGCAGCACCACTCCCCTCCACTCGAGCTGCTCGAGCGAGCTTGATCGGACAGTGCACTCCTGCGAGCAATCCGAGGCACGAAAGATCGAGCCATGACGGGAGGAGTGCTCTCGACGCCCATGCTGCTGGGCAGGTGCAGCAGCAGCAGCCGAGGGAGTGGGTCGAGCTCGAGCGCGAGTGTGAGTGCGTCAGTGGAATGCTCGAGCGGGAGGTGCAGGAGGACGAGGCGGTCGGTGCGAGGAGGAGGAGGAGGAGGAGGTGGAGATGGAGGAGTGCGGGGGAGCTTAGTGCTAGAGAATCCGTGGGCATGCGCATGGCAGGATTGGAGAAGCGGGGCCAAAGTGCTGGCGCAGCTGGTGCCCAGAGCTGCAGCGGGAGGAGGGCGACAGCGGAGGCCGTTCGTGGTGCGGGATGACTTGGGAGGGCAGTACGAGGACTCGTTCGACGATGTGGACAAGCATCTGCTCGATTACTTCACATTCAAAGCCGTGAGGACGGTGCTGGCGCAGCTGGCGGAGATGAATCCCCATCAGTACGCCTGGTTCTACAACTACGTGGTGAATGTCAAGCCGCAGGACAGCAAGGTGTTCCTGCAGAGGCTGGTCAAGGAGAAACAGGAGCTCGCCGAGCGCGTGATGGTCACCCGATTGCATTTGTTTAATAAGTGGGTCAAGAAGTATAATCATGCTCAACTGCATAAGGCCATCTCGGACGAGAACCTGGCACTGCTCCGCGAGCGGTTGATGCAGACTGTCAAATTCTCCAACACTGAAAATAATGATCTCACCGATGATTCAGATTCCCCTTAGCCTGCCTGCCTGCCTGCCTCTCAAGGGGCGCCCTTCGTGACATTTTGTACATTAATTCCAATTGATTCATTTATGGAGCAATCTCCGATACTCTGCACCTCCGAGACTCGTCTCTCTTTCGGTCTGTCGGTCGGTCGGTCGGTCGGTCAGCTGGTATTACAATTGTCTGCGCATTCGTTCATTCATGCTTCATGCCCTGGACAGAGATCAAATCTTCTGCCAGTGGGTCCCTTCAACATGTGACTGTTGGTCGTATGCCGACGTTCATCCTTCTTGTGCTCTGTTTGCGAAATTCATTTGCCATTTCTCTTGACTCGGATAGCGCACGATTGTAGACATGCCCCCTTGCGTTCCATGCATGCGCGAAGGAGTATCGAAGGATCGACTCAGTTCAAATCGACAATGTCTTCAGTTCCATTGTCTCTCTCTCTCTCTCTCTCTCTCTCTCTCTTTCCTTTTTTCTCTCACAGTGTTCGAGAAGCCGACGATCGCCTATGAAGTGAAATGAAACATCTCACTCGTATAATGCGCCATTTCTCTCTGGTGCCAGGAATGGCCACTACGCGACTTTTCGAGTGGAGGGCACGTGGAACGGACGGGCCAATCAGACGGAGGCAAAGGATTGGTTCATATGCGCATCGTATCCAAAGATCATACGTCCGAAACAATCGCGCTTTTGACAGATCCTACTCTCGGAGAAAGGTGTCTGCCGTCGCCATACTTTTTAAACCAATGTCAAGTTTTGAAGGCCAGGAACGAGCACAATCTGAAGACATGCTTACTATCACTCCCCAAGCTACTGGTCTCTCATTTCTTCTACAAACTCACATGTCAGTCAGAAAACTGTGCTCTCCATACAAGGTCTCCTCTCCTCTTCTTACATCGACAACTTCGACGAGCTATTCTATGATACTTCTCAATTGCGCAGCTTTAGGTAATAAACAAATGGACGCGAGAACCTCGGTGACCGAAACCAACTTTATAAACTGAAGAGGTGGTAGCAATGCCACGACCGGAATTTGGTTCTACCTTTTTGAGCTTGAAGGAAGCACTTGGTTATCTGCTGCGAGGAGCCCTACCTCAAGAGTTGAATACTTTGTATGTACAAGTTCAGCGTTTTCAACAAGTGAAACTCTTGGAAGTTGATATGTCATCGTGGAGTTCGGGAGGTTGGCTTGTTTGTTGGCGAGTGCACCTTCGGCAGATTACATCGTTCTCCTGCAATTGGGAAAAAAGGTTTGAGAATTGGTTAAAATGTTTCTCGTGAAGAGACACTGAAGTGATGTACGGGTTCCCTCCTCGCCAGTCTCGATTGAACAATTTCTCATTCATCAAATTCACGCAGCTCTGAGAAAGACTGCACGTCATCAGCGAGCCATATTTCTACAGATTCACCGTCACGGACCAACGTTCTTACTCTCAAAGCAACGACATTCAAGGTTGTGACCATGATTATTGCTCGAGCAATGGTGGGTGCTAAGTGTGACTCAGTTTTCTCATGACAGCCATGCACATTCTCTGACTTCTCCACAGCAGTAACCGCACATTGTGAAGCTATTCGAGGTTAAATGCAAGAATTATATGACAGTGGAAATGTCAGAGATTTCCCGGAATCACAAGATTCGAGCCATTTGTTACCGTCATAACGTTTCCAGCAGTCAGTAGACAGCAAGCAGCGGATTCAGCTCGAATTATAAGTGAAAATCTGATCTGATCTGAACTGAACTGAGCATTATTATCTGTTCGTTCCATGGTTGTGCTAAATTTTAGTACTTCTCTGTCTATCATTTGAGGCGGGACACAGTATTTCGATGTGGATCCTTACTGACTGCTAATAAAACACCCGTCTTTCTGTCGGGACATCTCTCTAGAAATTAGATCCTTTCCTGGGAAAAAAAACGATACGAAATTCGGCTCGACGGTGAATTTGAGTTGCAATTTCAGAACGGGTGTTGAATCAGAGATTCGATGATTCAGAGATGTTGGTTCAGAGTTAGACTTATGATTATCTATATGAAGACTTATCTGTATCCTCCTCGCGATGTAAAAGTGGCAGTAGCATCCGTTCTGAAAATTATCAACGCACACGTACAGACGATCTTGGATGAGAAGCAGTGACATACCTTTGAGCGATCATGGTACCATGTCAAATGCCTGCACAAATTCTGGACGACACATCGACTGCCAGTATGGAGTGGATTTGGATCTGGACTTTATGGGGACGAGGCCTGTCGAGTCGAATACTCACATCATCCTCTCTCGGGATCGCTGGAGTTGGCAGCTCCGTGGTCGTCGATTGGAAATTCCATTGATCTCTGGTCGCCGGAGTAAGTCAAGTGACAGATCCATATGAACAGAACCACGAAGAAGAAGACGATGGCAGACACGAGAATTGCAGGCGAGAAGACCATGCCTGCAGCACACGTATCGTGCTCGGCCGGGCCCCAAATGCACCTCCTGCTTCTGTCTCGATCCCCGTATCCCTTCTGTCGTTCTGCTGGATCGAAGACCAAATGGCAATCTATCTGTCTGAAATTCGCAGCTCACTCACTCACTCACTCAAGACGGGCAGACACTACAGTGCAGCTCTGAAGACCTCCACAAAGTCTGCACGCCAGAGTGTTTATAAGCGCCATTCCAGGACTCGGAAGCCATCATGTCCGGTCGTGTCCACACTCTGAATCCGAGCTGCAATCCAATTCGACGGGTCAAGTCAGCTGTGCATGCTCTTCCCCATGCCATTGCATGCAATCAGCACACCGACTGCGTTGAACCCCTCCACAATGTACCACACTTTCCGTTCGTCAACAGACTCTCCTCGTCGATAGCAATGCAACGAGAGAAGGAGCTCGAGCACAGCCAGACACCGACGGTCGAGGAGAGGAGAGGAGGGCAGGGGAGAAATCGACTTGCAGTAAATTGCGGTGGCCAGTGACGATGGATGGGACGAGGAGCAGAATGTCGGCCTTCATCATCACCGACAAGGAGACGAGGCCGGGGTACAGTACAGCACAGCATGATGAACACATGATGGAATCGTCCTTCTGATTCGGTGGCGGCCGATTCTGGAGCGACGATGGATGGTGACAGTAATAATTCGCAGAGTGGACCCGATTTACGCACCACATTCTTCCCAAGACTTTCGAGAAGACGAAGGCCAATGATTCGGGCACCAACCTCCGCAGCTCCTCGCTCCCGTTGACTCCCACCTCTGATCCATCTCGGATCAATATTCCTTCTGATCATCACCAGGACCATCATCGAGCCCAAACTTGGCTTGATTCCACATCAGTGACACGTGAATTTGTGACTTGTAGAGGAGGTATGTTTAGTCGTAATTTATGGTTCCATAAAGGACCTTATGCTATGAGTCTGCTTGGTTGATAGACTGGTGTCATGGAGGAGTCTTCTCATAGTTCTGCTATGGGTGCAGAAGTGTCAACCTTGGGTTTGAGTTTCACATACGACTCACATTTGGTGTAACGGAGTGACTGAAGATATAGTGGAGAGTGTATCACATTATTGCTCTAGGAATTGCATGATATGTATGGATCCACCTAGTATACCATATTCTCGTATGGTAAAGTTGGTTTGATTGAGTTGGATGAGTTTATCCATTGATGATGTGATGATCATTAGTAGATGACTTGCACTGTTACTACGATGTATAGCAACTGTGCATCTCTATGTTGTTTTCGTATGTTTATAACTTGTACTTGAGGAATATAAGATTTGGAGTTTATGCGGATGTACTATTACCATAGGTTTAGGAATGAACAAGTTGAGCGAATTGAGTCATGGAGATCATGATTCTCTTAAACTACTCTGCTGTTGTCATGATTTGTGTAGTAGTTATATAATTAGTTGCATGTCCACATACATCCGTTAGCTCCATTTACATCAGAATTGCCTGATAATATGAGAAAGTGGAGTTTAAATTAAGGATCTGAAGATGCCTATTTGAAGTACAAAGTGGAAATTTCTCGAATGTAATCTATTCATTTATTTTATGGTGATCATCGCAATGTTCCTGATAGATATCTTAAAAGCAGTAAAAGATCTCTTTAAAATAATTTAAAATATATTTTGTGCACAGAAATGTGAGTTCTTGGAAGGCCCAAAGGTGTAGCTCCGGTGTGGTGAATGTAACGTGTTTAAGGCATCCATGGAATGAGTCTATCCTAGAGATCTAGAAATGGATTCATTGGAAATCTTATCTTAACAACTCACATTTTTGTGTCTCAGCTTTAATCAAAATTTCAAAACTGAAATACTCAAGAGCATAATCTGTATATTGTGATAGTTAATGTGACTTATTGTACATGTTAAGTAATTGTCATTTGCAAGATGAAGCAATATATCCCAAGTTCCATGATTCTTTCCAAGATTAACTTGGGGCTTCCATATTGCAGTTGAACTACAAGTCTTCTGTTTTCCATCCACATGTTTCACAACTCTACGAAGCGTCTGGCACTCAGACTGTTCCAGCAGCGCAAACATCTGAACGATCCGTGCTATAAATTTCATGGCCATTTTCTTCATGGATAAGTTCAACCTGTGATGATGTTGTCGTCTTCAGTCGAACCGCATTTATGCGGATGGACTACAATCTCACTTTCGTTGAACTTAGAAGAGTAAAACATAATATAGTACTAGCCATTCTCATTTCAACGATTATTGCACGCTAACATATTCATATTGGTCAAAGTCGTTTCAAAAATAGATGCAATTACTTTTCCAAACTTTTGTCTTGGCCTATAGTAAGATACACTTTTCCATTTAGAATTTCACCGTACGTGAAATTTTCCCTTCGCGTTCTTTCTTAAGGTAGAGAGATAAGATCAACATCCTCTTCTCTCCAATGTTGTGAAGTCAAAACTCTGAAGGGTCCGATACAAGACACAATGAACAAACGGTTATAGAATCCAATCATCACAACACTTCTGGACGTGGCAGCATTGACATATCAAACTGATTCATTGGCCATAGATGCCACTCCAGTTCCTTCTACTGTGCTAGCATCTAATGGTTTCATTCCTCATGTTATGAAACATGTTCAGAATACTTTTGACTTTGAATTTACATGTCCTGCTAAGTAGCTTAAAATAGGAAATGATTCTTCCTGGTGAGATGGGAGAACAATACCATCAAGGTCTTTATTTCGGAGTTGCGATTGGGACGAACCCAAGAACTCACTTGAAAGCTCTTGTTGACAAACTTTGCTGTACGGTTGTTGCATCAACATATTAGCAGTATTCAATTGACCCTGGAGGCTGGCCTCATCGTTTATCAGAAGAGGCTGGACAGGAATCTGACATGGGACCGAGATCTCTAGTCTTAATTTGTATCACTTGCAGAAAATTCTCATGCTTCAAGTTTACCTTTTCCGGCACGTTTCCTTGAAGCATTTTCGTTGTTAATATAAAATATGTACAGGTCTTCTACAACCTAGCCCACTGCTCAAAGGTAGGAGAAGAAGAAGTTCCACTAAAAGCTACCGAGAACATCATACTCCACCCCTCTAATTTATCCGGGGAAGGTGGTCCCAAAAATGCGGTAAGTTCGACTGTCCCAAGGTTTCGACTTGTCTGTATAGTAGGACATCAGACATATTTTAATCCATGGAGGATCACGCTCTGGAGCAAGCCTGCCGTCCTCCATCACTTTGCATCCTAGCAGCTTCTGAACTTTTCGTTCAAGAGCACCTACCAAGGCACTGTCACCGCACAGGTCTGCTGGAGGATGACCGTTGAAAAATTTAGCCTGTGCGAGAGAGAGACAGAACGCTAAATTGTCATGGAAGTAGTATACGTAACACTGTAAATCCTAACCGTCTCAGTCCTTCTCAATTCCTGACCTCCACTTGTATTCAAGCTCCTCTTGGTTTGTACATCCCTTGTCACTGATATCTAGTCTTGGAAATTCGGACTGACTACTTTCTGAGCTGCTGTGCATCATGAAATTGCTGCCTACTTGTCGTGTTTCAGATGATAACAAACCGTTAAGATTCACGATTTTGTTCTCCTCTTGACAAGAAAAATAAGCAAAGCAATTGAAAGTGTCACGACAGTGGAGGAACAAATCAGCGATAAACAGTATTCTAGTACAACAAACAGTACAACAATTAGTACAACAAACAGTGGAAAAACTGAGTTTAACAATATACCCCATCTTGTCCATAGCAAAAGGCATGGAGCCTGCCTGTCGGATCTTCCACAGTGAACCTCACTCCGTAGGCGAAAACAGGACTTGCTTCTGCATCACCTCCGTGTGCATCTGTTGGTAGACGAACACAGAAGTTGCAAACTTGTGTGGGAAAGGTCGATGTTACTCGGACTAGACATCGAAACTTGTACGTGACCTGAAAAATTAATCAGATATGTCAAATGTAAAGATATATCCGAGACGCAATAGCTGCAGGAAACCATGATCTGCATTGTAAACACCAATTAGTTACATGCTGTCAGGTTTTCATCCTGTCTCTTTACCTTAGGATGCGTGAGGACCTCTCTTAATGTCGAGAACTCAATGTGTTCAAAATCTGTCACTGAATTATCAAACAAACATTCCAATCACTGCATTGATTAGATGATGCTTGGCATCTGAGGAGATAACACATGCTGATACAAATGTCACATAGACCTACCGGTCAATGATTGTGGAGGTTTTGGTAAAGATTCTGGCAGACGTCCATATTCAGTCAGAATCCTATCCTCGTAGGTACTGCAACAAAACAATGTACAGTAAGATTTGCTCAATCTGAGTTTCTGAAAATTGGTCTGCAAGAGAGGAAGGTCATGAACTATTGAATTTAGACGTTCAGGCAGGAGGCTTACGTTTCACAGTCTTTCACTAGTTTCGTGTCTGTTGAAAGAAGACTAAGCTTGCTTTCTCGAGTGAAGATACCCTCAACCATGCCTGCTTGGGTTCGACAAGCCAAATTTCGAAATTTGACCCAATCACCTCGTTGAGGTATTTGTCCGGGCAATATTTCAAACTGAACCTCCGGCACAATCGGAAGCATTGTACCGATTGACGGACAATCGCAAAGCACATCTCTGGGTGGAAGAGGTAGTGGAATCTGTTTGGAGTCCAGCGTGTCTAACGGCGTTGTCTCAAAATCCTTTTCTTGCCTGTAAAATAAGTTTCATTCGCAGCGAGAGCCAAAGAAATAAGCATATGTCAAGCCACGAACTTTCAACTACTAGCTACAAGATTGAGAACATTCATCTGAACGACGATGTATGCCGAGGAAGACACATGAAGCCAAAAATACCAGGTTAAGCTAGATCACGAAGTCCAAACAGTGTCTCCGATGATTAAATATCTCGTTCGTACAGCAGATGCATGAAAATGCTTGATGTCTAAATATTCGGAAAATCCTTAGAACAGCACATCATTCTATACTCCTCGTGTCCTCTAATATAATTCAGCCGAACATACAAAATCGGAATTGTCCTCGGCGTTGCATCCGTGCCATCCCAGACGTAGATTATCGTGACACGCTGAGGTAGGTATCTATCATCAACGTACAGAATCTGTTCAACAATACAAACAAGACGATTAAAACTCGAAGCCCTCTTGTCATTAAAATTAGCTAATGTAAGGACCTCCTACGCTGATCTGCATCCTGAACATCAGAACGTTTGTCTCATGAGCAAGCCGCTTGGAAGGAAGTTGGCTTTCAAAATCCCTAAGAAAGTATGCGAGCAATGAGAAGTTTACCTTACAGCAGAGGTCGAAGTAGGTGTTATCCTTGATGCCACATATTTGAACAAGATAGTCACTTATTCCTGAACAAACCAAGAGACCAACATGTTTCGGTGCAGTGCAGGACTATTACCTGAGACACAAAGTAATCTCTAATTTTCACTTCAATCCCGAAAAGTTGCAGGATCGAGGGTTGACGGCACCTTCCAAGCAGGGACTCACAGATCTTCCCGTAATTCACAATTTTCACAAGGCTGCAGCGCAATAGTTCCAGGATCTCTCAAGCTTATATCCTCGCCTTGAGGCTGGAGCTTCTCACCATCTTCTACACAACATGGTGCAAGTTCCTAACCTAAGCTTGAACTATACTTTGGGATAAGTTATGTTAAACTGGCTACTTCAGATTATGGTCTAATCTACAACAGATTCTATAAAGCCACAAGGTTGAAATATCTAATTTGGTTTTCCTCTCATTTGCTAAAATGCGTCTTCGGAAAGAGTACTTACGAGTTCCTAGCGGATGAGCCCCAATCCATTTGCGCATATATTCGACGGTCAATTCATCATGGCGTGCAAAAGTGTACGTCGTATGCGAGTTCTGATAGGGTTCGTTGGAGCTACCAACTTTGCCATCAAGGAGAATAAAGGCAGAAGACTTTCGATTGATATTCGCAATTGCTTGAGGCGAGTCCTTGTAGTCGCCGATCTGATGTCGTAAACTCGTCATGTCAGGGCCAGGAATAAAGAAAATGACTTTTGATGGGAGAACATACTAAAGCTCCTCGATGAGTTAGTTTTTTTCGATTTGTGGTGATATATATTACGCTTCATGTACAATTACATTGCATCTCTTCAAGGCACTACGAATTTTACGGTATCTATTACCTCCACTCGATGAACACGGATAATATCGCCAAGAGTTTTGACGATAGGACAGTTTTTGGCTGACGCGAATATGAGCAAGCGCAAGCCAGGGTTGTCGTAGGACATGTCGACAACAGTCATCGTACAGAGAACGTCTGTTGAAAACAGACTTCAAAGATCAGAATCTATACCGTCCCTCACAGCTGTACAACACTTTCACAAGCTCAGACTCAAGCTGGATCATGAATGTGAATCGACCTGAAGATAGAGTTTAACTGAGTTTTGGAAATAGAATTCACGGTGAGCAATAACTTACCAGATCCACGAGTTGGTTTCGGATGATCGTACTCGCTTATTGCACCATAAAAATTTACTTTGTCTCCTTTCCGCAGCATTGCCTCTCGCAATGGTAGATACTCATAATGTTCGTTGACCCCTGTAGCGGAAAAATATATTCAGCGGCTGAAAATAACACATCACACTGGCAACGGGGTCATGAATGACGTTTATTTCGACAACCTCCTCAACCCAAGCCTCTTAGGAGTCTTGATGTCCTGGACGAAAGACCTTTCATATTAAGGCCTACCAAAGTAATGAGAATTGCGATCATAGATGCGCAGATGTTAAAAAGTTGTAACAACACTCGAGTCAAGAATGATCATACACAAGCTTACAGCGGCTAGTTCAAATTATTAGTATTCAATTAAGACCATCTGCAGAAGAAGAGCTTCTTTGCAAAGCAATCACCTAAAGCTGATAAGTCAGCAGTAGGCTCAACATTTGGTCAATCAAAAGGTGCAGCTCTCAGCGTTGCATTGCGTTCGGAGCTCCCGACGGAGGACGTAACCACTCAGCACGAATTGTCACTACGATCTCTGCCTTACAGGATCAACGTATGCATATATGAAATCCATTTAGATTAATCCAGAAAACCTCAATTCTGTTCCTCTCTTACTCTGTCCTCACGAAATTTATGCCCTTATGCGCTAAACACATATACCAAAGAGGAAAAATTTGAGAAGAGCTCCGATACATTCCGATATAAAAAGACCAGAAATCCACACCATCGAAGTGGAATTCGCCTGCAAATTACTCGAAGAAGAATAATGAAAATTATTTCTCAACTTCAGAAGTGCGAGAAAAGAAGAGAGGCAGCGATAAACGCTCACGCACCTTCGCGGGAACGACCTTTACGCCGGGGAGGCATAGCAAGCGATTCAAGCAACGAAAACCGATAATTGTTCGACGAGCTCCGTCGCGGCGATTGCCTCTCGTCTCGTGCAAGCCTCCTCGTTCTCACTCGAAGGCTGCTCGCTCCAGGTTCATATTCACCTCGGCGCCAGTGGCGCGCCACTCTCTCGTAAGGGCAGGACCGAAGGGCTTCGTCCTCGGAATAGGGTAGGGTCGGGTCCTCCGCTAGGAAATTCCCTCGCCCCGGGCTGGGACAGAGAAAGATCTCAGGGCACGGTCTCAGCGCGCTATAAAGCTCGAGTCGCCCCCCGTCCAGGACAAAAGCGCTCGGCCCTTAGCATAAGGGTAAAGGTCGGTCCTTCCCGGGGACTTATCCCTGACTGGCCCAGCGCCCGTCGCCCGTCGCCCGTCAATCTGCAGTGCGCTCGACGGGCAAATGCCACGCTGGATCAGTGGGATAAGCAGATGGCGCGACGAATCCTCGAGCTTTCTTGCGCCTCGATTCGTGAGCATGCTGATGCTGTGAGCGTCGGGGGCCTCGGGAAGTTTGAGCTTCGATTCGAGCGGGGCGGGCCGATTCGAAGCGATGGCTGCGGCGTCCGTCGGAGCTAGCGTGACGCGCGCTGTCGCACCTCGCTGCTCCTCGTCGCCGAATTCTTCGTCCGTTCCAGCGTTTGCGCGCAATGTGGGCTTCGGAAGGTCTTCCAGTTGGGGCGCAGTGCATCTTGAGCGAATTCCTGTGACATCCAGAAACGCCAGGACTCTGCACCCGTGCGGCTTGGCAGTCGCATCTATGAGGGTAATCAATATTTTGCCTTCTGTTTTCTCTTGAACTTATCAACACATTCTTCGGTAGTCAGTTTTCTTCAGAGTTTCATGATTCTTTCCATGAATTCAGCGAATTTTGCGCTTGTCTTCCATGAATGGCCTCCACCAGTATCTGGCTCTTGGAAACGTGGAGAAAAACCGGCTTACTTCATTCCACGTGAAAATTCTAGAATCGAGATGGAGTATCTGACGAACGATCTCAGATTTGTAGCTGAAGGCACGTGGCTCAGCTCGTATGGCTCTGAACATGTTCAAGTCTGTCACACACAGTGCAAAATCGTGGATGTGTAGTGCGAACAGAAACAATTCACAACAGATAACAATTGGAAGCAGGTTCTAGTTCCCAGAGGTCTAAAGTTAAAAACTAGCGTCCAAGAGTTGAAGATCCAATGTGCCTGAAGATGGTAATCCTGAAAGCTTGCGGTGTGCGTGATGAACCGTTCAGATGGACCTAGAGTGTGTTCGCCTCTTCGAATTAAACGAACCTCAGACATTGTCTTCTTGATCAGGATGCGGAACAACTGGTGCAATCAGGAGTTGTCCGCAACGTGGGGCCAGAGGAAGTGTCAGCCCTTCTGTCCCAGGGAGGATACAAGATGTTGGACGTCCGGCCCATGTGGGAGCGAGAGAAGGCTTATGTGGCTGGTTCGTATCATGTCCCTCTCTTCATTGCAGACGAGAGCACGGGGCCCTTAACTGCTCTGAAGAAGGCAATACAGCTGGGCCAGGGCGGATGGTGGGTTGGACTGAAACTCACCATCAGGAACGAGAACTTTTTGGAGCAAGTGCAGGCCACAGTTCCTGATGGAGAGAAGCTGCTCGTTGTTTGCGGAGAGGGATTGAGGTAGAGCTGACGGCCTCCTGTAAAGTGTTTAACTTTGTCAAGCAGTCGGGGAAGACTTGTAAACTACCTGGTTTTGGAATTATGATTGCTGTGGACTAGTAATGCCATGTTTGAAATGCGCTTGTCCTGCAATATGTCATCTTCATCATCATAGGAGTGATCAGAATGACTGGCCTGAATCCAAAGCACCCGTACTTTTGTTAAGTTAGTAAGGGGTTTATGATTTGACTCCTGAAGATTCCGAGCCTATCTCATGATGGGGCAAGAATGCCACGCTTCATGTAGTTTTTAATCGCTCTCCTGTCACTCTTATTCAGTCTTGTCATGCTTATTCTCTTCACAGTAGCCCCGACTAGCGCGGGAATTTTAGTCTTCAGGATGTGACAAGCACGTACTGACATGTACTTTTATATTACTGCAGATCCTTGCTTGCCATAGAAGAGCTCTCAGACGGCGGATACGAACAGCTGGCGTGGGTTAGGGGAGGTTTTAACAATGTCAGGGACGACGCAATCGAAAATGTGGAAGGACCTATGAGGCTGCGATTTGCCACTCTCGGGGGTGTTTCTGAATACTTGTTGAAAATAGCTCTTTACTTTCAAAAGTTTAGTGATCCGAGTACAAATTCAGGGTCAGACTCTAGCTCAGAAAACAGATGATATGGCATGATTGTGATGTTAGTTCGAGCTTCTGTAGACTCTGCCAAAAGTCAGGTAAGTGAAGTGATATTCTGACTTTATCATAAACGTGCAGACATTCTGAATTTAGCATGAGCATGCTTCAAAACAAGCTCCGAGTTCAGCTTGAGATATTCTTTATTGAATACTCGTCGGGTGTCAAAGTAGAATTTCCGACATGACTAGTGTAACAGTAATCAGATGTTAGAGTATGATACTTCTTAAGTAGCTTAAAAGATATGTAAACATAGCCCGATTTATGCTTAAGCCATGCCGCAATTTAAAGAAACATTCGTCTCCTCAATTGTCATTGAATCGAGATGGTTCGCAATTTGTATCTGTAAACAACTACGGGTAAAATTTCAAAGCACAACTTCGTGGCACTTCCATCCACGGTAATATAATTTGTTTCTACACAGCAAGCCAGAGTTGTTTTCTATGACTCGAACTTTGCCTGCAACTTAACATGAATGTTGGACGATAATTCAACTCCAAACTGTTACACATGTAAATTCTGATACTGCCATTCAGAGATCATCTGATCCGTGTCAGATAACAAGTGCCCATAATTTAGAAAGACACGTGTCTGGAACGAAAACAGTGAATAATATCACACGACTGTTGTGAGGTAGAAACAATATGCGCATGCACCAGTTATATGACAGTACAACCTTGCTGGATGAGACAAGTATTCAACTTAGCCGACATGTAGCATCGGATTGGTTCGACGAGCGTATAACAATAAATAGTCACCTTTTACTTCTGCGTAGGGGAGAGGATTACATGTCAATCCATTTGTGTCGTATCGTCACATAGCGTTTTCAGTTGCACGCGGTAAGTATTGGTGGCGAGAGGCTTTCGGCCTCTCTGATTACGGTGCTTATGATGAAAGCCACAGCATCATTTTCACGAAGATTTTACAGATACACGCGTTGCATACTTCCGCTTCGGACAGTGTGTTGTCACTGGACACTACCGCAGGTAACCAGATCCTAGAATTCGCTTTCGAAAGAATGAGACTAACTATGAGAGGACTTATAGAAAACAAAAAATGATGTGATTTAAGTGAATTACGACGACAGACTCTCGATGGCCATTCCAAGAGGCCAAGCGGCTTCCACAAGTCCGCCTTGATAACTCACTTGTTTGACCAAAGTAATTTCCTCGTTTGCATCAATTCCTGGGAGCAAATGAACGCAACTATGCAATCAGAAGCTTGCAAACAATACTGCAAAAATTTATCAAGATTGTTCTGATTCGTCGCACATAACGTGTGCATGCATGGTACCATGTATCTTGAAACTTTGCGCCTAAAGATAAGCCACATTTTCAAAAATTTCCAATCAGGGAGGTCAGTACTTACCGAATCCTTCCACAAGAAGGAGGTATTCGTACACAAGATCCATACAGAAGTACGGGGCGTCTGATGCCGACAAACCATACGTTGATTGGACATCGTCAACGTTTTTCTTGCAAGCCTTCGCTGCAGCCTTCTGAAAGTTTGAAGGTTTAATGGTTGCCTGTGAGGCTTTAGGATCTGTTATGATGCCAGCCTGCAATACAGTATATGCGTCAGGCCACTGAAGGTTTACAATCCAAGCAAAAGCAGCAATATACATCCTGCGCTGTCTTCCTTCAATTTCTAGCAACAAGACTTAAAAAGACACCAATGCGCATGAGAAAAATCACTGGGATGTATATATGACAGAAAAATATCTTCGGCATGACGTATTGATAAAGATCTAACGAACTAATTATATGTCATTATTCATGGTTGAACTCAAACCCATAACGTGTTATACTGACGAGCGAAGAAGTCAGAATTAAATTGATTTCCTTGTGTCGAAATCTCACCTCCAAGGCTTTGTCAAAGAAAAAAGAAGCTACAAGAAGTTTCTTTCTTCCAGCTCCTCCCCCTCCACTCCAGACCCCTCCGAACGTACACTGCATGCTGGTGCAAGCATCATCCTTTCTAAGTGCTTCTAGTGCCAGCTCTTTACACTTCGCAACGTCCGCACCATCTGGGCCAGCAACTGCCCTCCAGCTCTCACTGCCATATTTGTAAGTGCCTGAAAATCAATGAGGAAAAAACATGCTCAGACGAAATTCATTAGATTGTGATCTACTCAAAGCAAGCTACCACAATTGACGAGATAGAAGTGCTAGCTTTCTCGTTAGCGAGCGCATTGGTGGGTATTCTGCATACACCATCACTGATGAGCTCCAATTCTACAACCAAAGATTTCTGAAACTGAATTGAGCTTGTTCAACAGAACGTAAAGAACACAGCCCGACTTGAAAAATTCTAGAAAAAATTGAGGCCCGAGCAAATACCGTCAAATCCTTCGGGAATACAGGGGCAAGTGTCCGTCTTCTTCACAAGCTTCAGAATCTCTCCCCTGACGGCTTGCAGTCCATAGCGCAAGTAGCTACACACATTGCCAAGACTCGAAGTTCAGAGCCACTGACTATTACCCAGAGCAGTAAAAATTGAAGGTGTGACAAATGCAAACCCTCTAATGCCTACCTGTATACGTATAAGTAATAAGTTTGGCCGAGCAAATTCAGTTTGACGACGTAAGAGTCGACGCCTGACTGAGGCTTAGGCGCTGTCTTCGCTGTCTCTTCTGAGATAGCATACGACATTTGAACGGAGCCACCACCAAGGTCGACAACACCAACTGTCTTGTCGAAGGACTTCCCCAAATTTCCAAGAAGATAATTTACGGTTACCTGCGTACTTAAAAGTCCTTATATGAGCATAAGATGGCACTTGCATGCTCTGATTATCAAAAATGACTCCATATGGTAAGATATAACACATACGGATATCACTACGACACAAAACACACCTAATGTAAGAAGTCAGAATGCCAGAAGAAACTATAGCAAGCGCTCGGTGTCTCAACTGAACAGAAGCCATTATGAAAGGTAAACTCTTACCCACTGGTATGTGCCCTCCTTTGCTCCGTTCAAGATAGAAACCCATTCATCCTTAAACTTCAGACCAGTATTACCCAATAAACTTCGAACCTGCATGACCATATAGATGTTAAACCCTGGGTGCCAAATTGAAGTTACAGCTGAAAACTTCACACACTAGATTCAAGTTCAAGCCCCACATTAAAACCCATGCTAGTGAGGTTCAATACGCAAATGCTCCAGCGAAAAGAGGAGAGGAGCTTGCAAGCGGTAGGTAATTCGACTCCTTTACACATCATTATTGATTATCTCCGTTGAAAGTTGACAACAGAAAAAAAAAAAAAAAAAAACGAAAGAGTTCGCCTACTTAAATACCCACCTGCTCGAGAATATTTTCTGAATTTTCACCTGGGAGAAGCCTCAGTCCGGCAGTAGCCTGGATAAGAATGGCACAAATGACGAAGTTTATGATATGTCCAGACCTAGTAACACACTTGAAGAAAAAGTAGGAATCGAGGCTACACAACAATAACGATACGGCTACATAACAATACCTTCATTACGTCACTACTACGTGAATAAAACTGTATAACGGAAAGATATCAATCAGACGAAAGGATTAATATTACCCCCAGAAGAACCGGAGTTTCTGACCACGAACTACGAGGGACAGCTTCCAAAGCTGGATCAAGTAACACGTTCAAAGACTTCGCAGCTTCCTCGGGTCTCCCACTGTAGTTGCTTAGTCCAGGCTTCGACTGTTAAACATTTACACATTGGAAATAGATAACTCAGCGGACTCCAAGGAAGAATGATCATACTGAGAAAGCAGTGACAAGACCCAACATCTCTTTCCACCTTCCGATTTTGAGCAAATATTGTAGCAGTGTAGTTAGATTGAATCTTATAGTTCAATTAACACCAATATTATTTTCTTACTCAATCATTATTTAGTTCCCACGTAGAACCAAGCACATCTGGGGCTTCTTATGAAATTTCCAACTTCAATCATCAACTTCAAACCGATGAGGAATCGTAATGACTCCAATGGACGTATCAAAAGCTCGGATTTACTGATCCGAAAGTTGATGCATCTACTTGATTAGCAGTCAGAAACTCATTCTGATTATAGCAAGTGGAAGAACACTCGTGAAAAAATAAGACTGATCACCGGAAAGAAAAACTTTCAAGCCCAAAAGAGATTGTCGGTCTACGAGTGGAGAGATTAAACTACCACCAATTAACAATCTGAGTTCTAATCACAAGCCAAGAGATAGGTACTTTCAGTATGATCACCTGCAAGAAAATCTCCATACTTCCATCCTCGAAAGGAATCAGATCCATGCTAGTGTCGAAGGCAAAAACATGCACCCTACTTCCTGAGCTTCCGGCATCAAATACGATCGACCATCGCTTGGTTGAACCAGGCTCCATTAAAATCTTTCCGGGACCAGGCTCAAAATTATCGAGCCCAGCGATCGACGCATCGTCCAGAGAGCGCGGCATCAAGAGAAGAACGAAAGAGATGAGGGCAATCGGTATCGACACCACAAACAACACACCCCTGTACCGGTACAGTTTCTCCCCCAGGCTTTCCTGCCGTGCGCCCCTCATCTTTGCGTGCGCCTCGAAATGCTGCTGTTGCTGGTGTTCTCCCGACTGGTCGAGCTGGGAACTCGATGTCGATCGGTTCCGCACTTGGCCAAACGATCCCTCCGACACCTCCAGCTCGTCTCCTTCTCGGGTATCCTCGAGCTTGCTTTATGCCCGAGCCCCGAAGCTGTAACTTCCAGATCTCGGCAGTCCTCGCTGCAAACAACCGAACATTTTCCTTTTACCCTCCTCCCCTGCTGCTCTCTGCCAAAGACCAGATTTTTCACCCCCTAGACTGCAGCATGCGACAGACGGACGCCCTGCGCTGTCGGCAGGTCAGATCAGCTCAGGCAATGTGTTTTCTGGTAATTCCTCCGCGACGACGTGAGATCTTGGATCTCAGGGTACAGGCATCCACGCCTGTCCAACCCAAGCCGATCGAGCAGGAAAGGGGCAGGCGAACATGCGCGCGATCGTGGAAGGAAGCAAGGCGAAAAGGAAGATCGCAGGTTGATGGAGGACCTTCTATCCGCCCAGCCCACAGCCCACAGCCCACAGCCCAGCCGGTCTCGGAAAGTGCACCACCAACAAGGACAGAGCTTCGATTGATGGTGCTCCTCCTCCTGCTGCTGCTGCTGCTGCTGCTGCTCGGATCTGCTGCCGGGGGACAGCCCTCGATGCTTATTACACGAAGAGACCATCTCCTCGTCGTCCTCGCCCGTTCTTCTTCTTCCCGGGCCTTCCTTCCTTCCTTCCTTCCTTCCTTCGGTCATCGCCCGTTTCTTCCCCGCACGGCCGGCGCTCCGGCCGCCTCCAAATTTGGCGGCCGTCACGCATTGTTCATGGCGCTTATCAGAAACCGCCATCTTCTTCTTTCTTCTTTCGGACTGCGGTCGCCTCCACATTGGAGGTCGCTGCGGTCAATGGCCTCCGAGCGCCGCCTCGAGAATTGGCGCTGCTTCTGTTCTGTCCGGAATCGTCGCTCCAATTCGAGGGCACCGGGTCAACATGGCGCACAATGCGGAGACTCCGTCGTCGAGTAGTGCATAAATAAACAGACAGGAAACATGGGAAAGTTTTAAATAGCATCACAATGCCAAAAATGTATTTCTGTATAAATGCTCCCGGCTTTTTTCTAGTGGTGCTGTTTAAGACATACACACTTATAACATCATGGTTATTTGTTTTTTTCCAAAAACAAAAACTGATAATTGAGTTTGAGATAAAGTAATGGGCACCAAATTTATTTATTTTTTATTTTTTTCACTGTGTTTTTAACTATTTTAGAATTTTTTTGATATCGATGGAAAAATACATCACAAGTATTGGAATTCATGTTCTCTACTATTTTATTATGCACGTAACATTGTTTCAGAGGGCTAACGTTTTCAATGGTACACAGATGGATTTGTAGCAAAGAATATTAAATAGTAAAACGAACTTTTGAGTCATCAATTCCTCATTTGAGAGAGTATGAGAAGTGACATGTGAAACATCTTTCTCTAAACTTATAATATTTACTCTGTCAGTTCGCATGTATTCATTAGAACAATTCTATTCATCTATAAAAGGATAACAACCGAAGTCAAAAATGAAATAAAAAAGAGTAGATCAAGATTCATATTCTTATTCATTTTTTCTTAATTGTGATGTTCTTGGGTCTATACACATCTTGCTTACTTGTCTCAGATATTTTTCACTTGGTGAATTGTCATACCCTGTTCCTTTTATTGAGCATAGATAACTTCGCATAAAAATTATCATATATTTGGATCCATTCGATTTGCTGTATGATTTCATATAAAAAAAAATCATCACCCAATGTGATTGCTAGTGTGTTGTTGTTCAGTGGACACAAAAAAAATTTCCAGGACAAATTGCTCGAGTGGTGTCAAATTGGGGCTTTGTCCGCCATAGAGCTCCTTTTCAGGCATTCGAGAACACTGCACAGCTCCCGACTGTGCAGTGTTCTCGCCTGCCAACGTTTATCCGCACCAACAACTACGAGCCGAAAGATTCGCCAATCGGATCATCACTCGCTCGACGTCGCGTTGAGCTTCACCGGCCCTCCAGACTGAATCAGCCGGTGACCGGTAGATCGACGACCGGTTCCTCGCCCACATCTTCCCGAGGGATGGGAGAGTGCGGGCTTCGGGTCCATCACCGTCCTACGTTGACCTCCTATGGACCGCTGAGTCTACCGCAGTTACTTTCACTCAAGTCTACCGCACCTTTCATAAAATATCTCGTCGGATCCATCACGCTGAACCTACTGCAGTTACTTTAGCCTGACCAATGGCGTCAGTCAGCCAATATCTGTGGTTAATTCCGCGGGATTGTAGGTAAATTGTGCTGAAGTCATGCGAAAAGTGCTTCCCGACTCTATTCTGCTCGGATGGTCGGACATCAGGCCTTCTACGGCACGGAGGGGCTGGTCCTCTGGGCTTCGACTAGGTTAGCAGCAGGTCAGCATCTTTGCATTATTTGAAGGTTTTACATCACAGAAAGATCAGAGACACTACTAGCGAAGAGGCGGTCAGTTTATGTGTCATGGATATATCAATCCGATGTCAGAACGTGAGTTTATTGTGTCCTCATCATTCTTTAGTGTCAGAGCTAGCCCATAAAGCCTGATTTTAATATTGCTTAAGCTATCACTGTCACTTTGGGATAGACGAAAGGATTTTTGTGGACCCAATGAGAAATGTATTATTGTTGAATCTCGGCCCTCGACAAACCAGGAACGCTTGGAAAGAGTACCTTTCCGAAAAGGTAAACGAGGGCAGCAACTCTTCTCCTCTATAGGGGTCCAAGTGGATAATATCCCGCCAAGAGCAAATCTAACCTAAGACCGGGCTAGATTTTCATGAAATCACAATCAATTTATTTCTTTATTATTTATCTATTACAAAATTTCAAACCATTTACATCAATTCACATTCAAGATCAGAAAAATTAGAATGCTACATTAACTAACGTTATCATTGTCATCATTCCTGCTGTGGAATAAGTTTTCTTTGTGAAACAATGAACACAAGATACCAATATAGACTATTTGAGACTAGATTAAGTGATGACTCTATCATGTAGCATTGAAATGTGGAGCATATGAAAATCAATGAAATTGAAATGAAAATATTATCACAAGTCATCTAAGAAAAAATGATATGATTTTTACTCTTTGATATAGTGTATATAAAGTTGAGACTTAAGCTCAGAGATGATCATGGGTCTAATGAACTACAATAAATTACTTGTGATTTGATTAGTCTTAAGAAGTCAATGTGAAAATAAGATTCTAAAAGATAATATTTTGATTTTTTCAAACATGAAACAAATTTAACATATTTCAAATCCTTTCATGCTAAGAAATCATCACATTAAGTCAAAGCTTACATACTTTGTGATAGAGCTTGACATGAAACTACACATTTCAAATTTTGTTCCACGTTAGATATCTATATGCAAACACTTTGAGGCATTATATATACAGAAAAAATATTAAGGAATTTTTCACTTAATTCTGAAATGATACGTATGTACAGTTTTAGTTTTAAAGTAAATTTTGATTTTTATACTTTTCAGATATTGAAAATTTACAACATTTTTTAATTTTTTATTTAATTTGTTAGTATTTTTTATGAAAATTTATAATATTTCATCAAAATTAAATTCCAAAATTTATGTATCAAATATTGAATATAAAAAAAAATAATTTAAGTCATATTTGTTTTGGTTCACTATAGTTTAGATATCATCATTCATTTTTTGTAGTTTGAAAAATTTGGACAAACGAAAAAGCAAATAAAATTGGTTGTTAGCCCTTAAATATTTAAATCTATTTTTTGGGATAAATTGCACAAAAAAATTATACAAAATTTATACTTTACTCATCAAAATTAGAAAAATTGCATGAATCACTTCAACAAGTTTGCATTCATATGTTTACAAATTTCGTTTACACATTTCAATTTATTCTATGTAAACGTCTAGTCGATATATCATAATTAATATAGCGTTTTTTAATCCTACTCTAATCAATCGTAATTAACACAACCATATCTTCTAAAAATTAATAGCTAAATAAAATTTGGATTCAATTTTTGAGCCTGTTGTTTATCAGATTACTCCACTACAAATATTTTAAAAAATTAGAATAAATTTAATGAAAGATAAAAAGTGCATTTTATAATCTTGTTACATATAAAAATCTATTAATGATGAGGTAAAAAATATCAAAGATCAAAGAACATAAAACCTTCTTTTATTCTACTTGTGGTTTTAAGGCAAATTTGCACCGGTAGTACAATTTTTGTAAATAAAAAACTATCATAAATGCATCAATTAAATTTAATTCAAATTTCAGTTTTACAGCATCAGCCATCTTATCAGAATCTGCATCATTAAAGAAGTGATTTTTGATTTAAGTAACAGTCTATTCAATCAAATAAATGTAGTTTTCTACAATGTCATTGTTACATCTTCAACTTTTTTATATGATATGCATTATTTAAAAACAAATGATTGATTTTAGAGATCATTGAAGTGTAAATACATATCTATTTTTGGACAAATATTTTTTGGCAAATCTTGAAGGAAATTATCATGAATATAAAATACTAAAGACTTAATATTGTTTAATACATCATCAAATACAAATTTCACTTTATAATGTTTTTAAGTTATTTGAAGATGAAATTTTTAATAAATTATAATTTCATAATATGTTTCTATGAATTTAATACTTTTTTTTTTCATCTTGATCATATGAAAATTGATATTTGGCTTAAAAGCCTCATGAATCTGACGAGTAATGACTCGTCATATATTCATGACTAACTGCTTTTTTGGACAACATTCTTTAGTTCTGGTTGAATTTGATGTTACTTTCTTAAGTATCAATGTGAAAGAAAGATGGTATGCTGATCAAAGTTCAAGGGAAATGAACTATGCATTTGAAAAGTTGGAAGAAACAATCAAACCATACGTTTAGAACAACAACAAAAAATCATCAAGAAAGCCCATGATAAAAACCTCAAGCGAATCTTATGATCTTATCAATCCGTGACCTGGTTTTACTCTAATTCTAGGTTTGTACACTTCCTGGTTTTACTCTAATTCTAGGTTTGTACACTTTCTTGATAAGCTCCGTTGACTATGATCGTATGTGGTGTAAGCAGTTATTCAAATAGCTCGGTTCAAGTTGTAGATGCAGAGGGAGAAACTTTCAATTAGAGTGCATTTTGATAGGCTCAAAAAGTACTATAGTCCCATGTAGCGTTCATGAGAACACAACACAATTTAGAAGTGGACTATGTGAGCCGGTTGTTTTTAAGATAAAAAAAGAGCAGTACATATTTCAATTTTTTGTTCAAATAGTACCTATTAGAATTACATAGATTAGTTCAATGTAATGTCAAGGATAATGAATGTTAAGTTGAACAAAAGGTCAGAGAAGTGTAAAACAAACCCTTGAAATTTGCAAAAGTTAAAAACCTTGTGATTGAGTAACAATGAGCTCACAAAAAATCATCTGGCCAGCTTGACAAACCTCTAAGACGTTAGAGATATGATATTATGAGGTAGCAAGCTAAAAGTCTCCATACCATAGCAGTTAAACAAACCTAATTAAAATCGATAGTTGCTTCTACTTCCAGTTTGGCTT